TCTCCCAACAGCTGAGCAGCTGAAAGGGCTGAGGCTGGGACTCCTTCCTGACTCTGCTCCTGCCTGGGCAGCAAATCCTCTCCTTGGAGGGGAATCTGTTGTCTGCAGAGTCCCAAATCAGATCCAGGAATATTTCTTTAGACACAAAAGTCACAAGATACAAAGAAAAAGGCTGTGTTTGAGTTCTTGGAAATGAAAAGGAACTTGAAAAGGAGAAATTTTTCTCAATAAATAAGGATTAACATCCAGAATATATAATGAAAGCATACAAATTTGAAACAAAACATAAAACACAAAAGGGAGGGGGAAGGCAAAGAAATTAGACAAGGAATGTAAAGAAGAAATGCAGTACAACCAGTCAGCAAACTTGGGAAAATATACTTGGCCTCACTAACAGAGAAAAATCAAAATGAGCTGATTATAATTTCTCATCCGTTAGACTGACATTTTTGAAAGACTGGTAATAACAGACGTTGACACAAGGCAGAATCATGCATCTCATGCAGTTCTGGCGAGAGTATAAACTGAGGACACTGGTGGAAGGTGAGCTGCCCACCACCATGGAAAACACCTGACTTAGGCTGCAGTTCTACTCTTAGTTATCCATCCTCACACACATGCTCAAAGATGGAGCTTCAGAAGTTGTTTGCACTTGAGTTGGTAAGAATGAAAAGCTGAAGTGTCCAGCTAAAGTATGACTCATCTAAACTACACAGTACTGTACAGCCACTCTCAAAGAGAAGTAGAAGCTCGTGTGTAGTGACTCCGAAAGATCTTTGATACTTGTTGTTAGTGAAAAACTAAGTCACAAAGTGATACTTACAGTACACTGTGATCCTTTTGATGTGATATGTATCTGTATACCTCCAGAATATGGAATATGTATTTCCAGAATAGGCTGCAGGCCCCGCTCTGATAAGGATCACCTCTGAATGGGACAGGGAGGTTTGGAGGGAATGACATACTCTGTGTAGCTTTGTACTTTTTACTTTTTCAGAAGGACTTTTCTTCCAGTTCATGCCATAACCTTCAATTGTGCTAATTATTCAATTTCCTGGGGTTTTATTTGAGAAGAAAATTCAAAGAATGTGAAATAAACCAACTTTCTTATTTTGTACAGTAAAATTCTAAGTTCTGCTCAGAGTTCTTAGATGATAATCATAGTTCTCAAAATTATAGCATCTGTTGAGTTCAGTATCAGATACTCTATGAGTCACATAATAATTATGTGCAATTCCATTATTTCAAGTTATAAATTAACTGAGGACTTCTTAGAAGGAGAAGAACATATAGGGTGAGAAAATCATCAAACTTTCCTGGTAGCTGTTGCAAAGAACTGCTTGTAACTGTGACTACTGTATAAATTATTGATTAACTTAAAAAAAATTCGATACTGACACTACTAGAAAAACAAGGTGTGCATGGACTAACAAAAGACTTAGTTTACATGACTGAGAATAAGTGTTACAAATGGAACTGCAGTAAATCTGCTTGCTTCCTTACCAGGATCTTTCTGACTACCAGGAACTCTTGCAGAGCATTGGCAGCTTCCAGAGCACTAGAGGGCCTCCAAAGTCAGCTGGAAACCAAAGCCTAGGACCCTAGACTTTTTCACAGGTTTTGTGGTACAATCTGTGCTTAATATTTAAGTTCAAATACATCAAAGACTAGAAGTACAAAGAACTTGTGGGTATTATTGGTGTCATGCAAACACACCTTCTTTTTCCAAAAAAGCAAGCCACATCAATTTTCTACACCCTTAAGAATGAAGACAATATCCCATTTCTTTAACCTTTAAGAAACAGTTTTGTTTTGTTTTTCCCTTATATTAATGGCCTTTGTATTTTCTAGGATCCATGCTAAGACCTGGAGCAAGTCATCACTGGCTACCAGTCCCTGTGTCTTGCTTTCATTTCTTTGTCTCTTCAAAGGCAAGTGATTGTCCCTTTCTCTGGACCTGGCGTCCTATCAGCATTTAGGAGGAGTGAGGGCTCCTCCCTATCTCTCTAGTGTAAATGCCCCCAAATGGCCCTCCTGCAGCTTTCTCTAGGAAAGGTGGAATCAAGAATCACTTCCTGCTGACTAGCAGTAGATCACTGCTCTCAATAAAACCCACTGGACTTGCAGGACTTGGACTTGGGAGCTCTTCTACCACACAGCAAATGGATCACAATGGCTGCCAGAGTCGTGTTGCCAGTGTAGACCACACAGCAGTGCATGCACTCGAAGACCAGAGGCCTGAGCATCGTGTGGACTGTGGGCCTGACATGTGGTACCTTTCGTTCAGGTGCAGCTCTTGGGTGTCAGCTGTTACCAATGTGCCCAAACAGAAGGAGCCAGTCAGCTTCTGTTTGCTGGGGATCTTGGGAGCAACTTGGGGCTGAGACCTCATCTTATCACCAAGGACTTGGAGTGTATCCCAGTGAGGACAGCCAGGGGAACCTCTGGCTCCCTAAGCTTCTCCCTTGGCAGTATAGTGATAAAGCGAGATGGAGGAACAACAGGTTGCTGTTAGCATCTGGGTCCAGCTGGAAATTTCTCTTACTATCATCCACAGACAGTCTCTTCTGCTGTGCTGCAAGAGATCCCGGACACCCTGGAAAGTTCACAAAGAGGCACCCAAGTCATGCATGAGCAAGTGGTGTATCAGCTCCTCCTTCAAGACCAAGCACTGCAGGAAAGGCAGCACAGGGTCTTCTCCCTCATCCACTTCAGAAATGGTGCCCACACCACCAGCTTTTCAGGTGCAAGTTTCCTGCTGGACATGGACTCACTCTGCTTGTGAGCCATTTCCATGGGAACCTGGTAGATATTGGAAGAGCTCATTGTAAACCTGGCAGGTTTTCCACTGCTTGACTTGAATACCTGATTCTCATTCGCTGCAGGAAAAGTGGCTCCAACAAATAGACCCTGGGCAGCACTCGCCAGCACCCTGCAGGGAGGGCAGGCTGGGCAGGCAGCTGGCCATCTGCATACAGGTGCCAGAGGGTGGGAACTGGTCAGGCACCTGGGGCAGAGCAATAGTCTGGAGGCCTCTGCCTGTGGCATGGGCAGAGTGACAGACATGGGACCAATGTGTAGGTGTAGGTGGAGATCCCAGTCATCCTGCTGGGATAAACTGCTTGAGATTAGGGCCAGATGTGAGGAGCTTTAGCGAAGTTCCAGCTCAGACTGGCTCACAGGCAGGATGCTGGTGCCACAGGCTGAGCTGCAGCATTGCCAGGGGCAACCAGTGCTCCTGCAGGAGGAACTCTGACACAACAGCCTGATAGAGCTAAAGTAGGGCTGCAAAGGAGGTTTCTCCACTTGGGCTCCATTGGTATCTCGAGTCGGATATTCCTTGCTGTGGGGGCCGAGCTGTGCTCGTAGGACATTTGGAAGCTCCCTGGCCTCTAGTGTCATTTCCTTCTCCTCCCACCCTCAGACAAAAATGTCTCTGCACATTGCCACGCAATTCCTCGAAAGGGCACTGTTGCCAGCAGGGAGGAGTTCTGTATGTAACAGGCCAGCCTCAGTTTAGCTGCCACACAGCCTTTGTGCACGCAGTCGATGACAAACTGTAGCGGGGAGGTGTCCAGACTTTGCTGGAGGAGTCTGGGTATTTTTAAACGGGTTCCTGTACCCCCATTCTAACACATCCTAAATTCTCTGAGATCCCAGAGAGGCTGAATAATCAATGTTAGAGACACATTGGAAGGTGTTGTTAATGGATTTTTTAAAATAAAGGTTTATATTTCAGATACAGGCCATTGAAATGATGTGTGCATTTGCATAAATGAGGCAGCCTGCCTGCCTCTGCCGCTCAGGTTGGCGTGTTCTGCGCAAACCCCCTTCACTCTTCTGCTGCTGGCAGAAGAGGGGAAGCTGGTGATGAAAAGAGGCTCCCAGACTGCGCCTTGGCTCCTGGGGATGAGAGGCCTCAGCATTGCTGTCCCTCCAACGAGGCTCAGAACCTTTCATTCACCCCCACTCTAAGCACCGCCCAAAAAGAGCCAGATTTTCCACTGAGGAGTTTCCATACAGAGCCAGAGCCCCACTACTAGCCTTGGGCAGAAACCGAGTAAGCAGGGAGACTCAGACTGGAACGTGCGAGAGCAGATGGTCCCCACCTGGTTCTAAGCACAGATTTTCCTCTTGCTGTGGCCATAGTCTTTGCCTTTAGTCTGTCGTGAAGTCAGGACTTCAGGAATAAGAAAAGGAGCTCTTCTCACAGAAGGTTTTAAACAATACTTTGAAGTACATCTTAGTGTGTTCTTTATAAAGAAAGGTTTTTCTGATTATAGTACTAGTGTAAATAAAAGTAGTTTAAATGTCCAAGATTCTGGAAGCAGCTGATTACAAAGAAACCAAAGGGCTGACAGTGAGATCTGTAATTTGTGATAGTCCAAGACAATATCGTGAAATTAAGCAGTGCAAATGCTACTCTTCAGCTGTGTGGCCCAAGCATTGATTCACACTTTGATGGCTTTATTGGGAGGCGGTGGGAGATGGGGTCTGGTTGGAGGAAGTAGGTCACTGGGGGATGCCTTTTGTGAACTTCATTTTTTTTTTTTTGGTGGTGCTGTGGTTCGCATCACTGGAATGACAGGTGTGTACTAACAGTGTACAAGAATTCCAATTTTTCCACAACCTGGCCAACACTAACTTCTGGGATTTTTTATAGTAACTATCCTAAGGGGTACAAATGAATGATACAGAAAAATGCAAATGTACTCCATTTCACTTTTAGCAGGATGGGGGTGGGTGGATAACATCGTCACAGTTCCTTCTAAGATGCTGTCTGAGGAGGGCAGGATGGCAAGACAGCCTCACTTTCCCATGCCTTTGGTCACCTTGGCAATTGCTAGCAAGGCAAGGAAGGCCGGGGACTGAGCACAGCGTTGGAGGGGGCCGAGGGCGTGGCGTGACTTCCGGGGGGCGGGGCTAGATTTCGGGTGAGGCGGGGCTTCGAGGTGACCCTGGGGTCAGCGCATGCGCGTTCCTGGCGGCGAGACCTGGGACGATGGCGGCTGTGGTGTGCTGTCGCGGTGCGCGGCCACTGCGGGTACTCTTCTCGCCCCTGAAGCCCGGAATCCACGTGACCCGGGCTCGGCCGGCGGCCGCCTTCGGGTAATGGCACCCCCCGATCGGGGAGCCCCTGCGTCGCGCGCTCGGGGATGACGGGAGGGGCGTCGGCCCAGATGGGCGGTGGGCGCGGGTGCGCCTGGCCGGGGTTGTGTGACCCTGGAACCTAAGAGCCCTAGGGCCGTCGTTCAGCCTCGTCAGTGCGGACGAAAGCGACCCAGGGATAAACTTGCCCTTAATCTCGGACGCGCTCCTGACTCGCTGTTCTGCGGGGCGCTTTGTCCAGACTGCACACCAGAGGGGCGCGAGGCCGTAATCTACCCTGCCTCCCGTCCGTATCAGAAGTCAGCCCGAGAATGTCCTGTTAGCTCTGGAGTCCCGTTTTAAGTGGCTAGTTCCAAGTCTCGTGGCCATTGTAACAGTAATGCACGAGAGAATCGCCCTGGGGACCTGTGGATCCCGCTTTAAGCGGCGGGATCCCAGATCCCTGTGCTTTTATAATATTAATGTGTGAGAGCATCACCTGTGAAAACTCAAAATCCCGAGCCTGATGGCTCTCACTTAGCTCGTGGATATGTCCAGAAATCTGCATTTTTCTCTTCTCCCTTCCCCTCCTCCCCCACTTCAGATAAAACAACAGCAGCAACAAAAAACTAGATTCATCTTTGACCTGCTGTGTCGTGGTCCTAAGAGTTTTGGGGCAGAAAATGTGGATAGAGCAGCCTGAAGTTTGCAGTTATTCATTCTTTACATAACATGCCTACACATACTTATACACATTCACACACAAACACAATGCGTGTATGCAGCTAACTGTGGATGGGTCATTTCCATTAATGACCAGGGAAAAAACTGAAATGCTAGATAGCTACCTGGCGTTTAGAACTTGAGCTAATGAAGAAATGTCTAACCTAAGTTGGAAGAACACGAGAGGACTGATGCGACCAGCTTTTTAAATTTTCATAATGTGATTGACCAGCTTTTGCGTTTTGTAATTGGTTTGGGGTTCTTTCATTACTTTTGTTAGGAGATTTTTCAGGACTTTGATGCAGGTGGGAAAACATATCAGTGGCTGCAGTTACATAAGTCAGCAGTGAAAAATGGGTATTTTATCCAGTGTTCTGTTGGCAGGAAGGGATTGTACCCATGTGGCACTCTCATCGGCTATTTATTGGTTGCAGGAAGGCGGTACTCACTTAGCTGCACTATAGACCATTCTTCCTAGAACCTCTTGGAGAAACAGGTTTCTCTGGATTTTGTACTGGCATGTTATAAATACACTTGGAAATGGATGTGCCATGTAATCTGAAAACAAGCAGTGCTGTTGGTTAATCTTGAAATGAGGTGACAGTAGGTAAAAGCAGCCCTGAAAAAAATCTTTGCTTCAGCACAGCCAGTGTCCAACCTATGACCAAATTGTGTGGTAAAACTTCTAAGTCTGCAGTTTAGAACTTTGACCCTTTTATTGTTTCATAATCTCAAAGGTGATTTTTTTTCCTGTGTCAGGTCAAAAAAAGTTTTTCCCGCTGAAGTATGGTATATGGAGTTACAATATTAATAATTTACAGAATCTAACAGTTTGTCTGAAAATTTTTTCTGAGTGCAATCCCGAGATACCCTGTCAGAGAATCAGATCCCATCCTTCTCCCCATGCCTGCCACCATGTCCTATCTGTCAGTCAGACTGAATGGCACCCCATTTCCTGAGCCCCTTTGGGGACTCTGTTCAGCCGTGAGATTAGAGAGAAAGCTTGGCCTCTGGAGTTCTATTTGAATTATTATCTGTACTAATGCTACTTCCTAGCTGTGTGAATGTGGACAAGTTATTTAACATTTCTGAGCCTCCTGTCTTGCAGAGTTTGAGGATTTGAAACCATGAATGAAAGGCCTAAAACATAATAAATTTAAGTAATTAGCAGGTGTGAAATAGTGGATATATAAGTAAGAGTATAATATATTCAAGAAATAAAAATAAGCTGGGTGCTGGTGGCTTACACCTATAGTCCTAGCTACTTGGGAGGCTGAGATCAGGAGGGTTGCAGTTCGAGACCAGCCAGGGCAAATAGTTCTCTCCAAAATAACCAGAGCAAAATGGGCTGGAGGTGTGGCTCAAGTCATAGAGCACCTGTTTTGCAAGCCTGAAGTGGAGTTCAAACCCCAGTCCTGCCAAAATAAAATAAAATAGATAAAAATAAGTCATCAAAACTCATACAAATTCAAGCCTTGGGGCTAGCTAGCACAGTATTAGAGTTAATGCTTACTTTATAAAAAATAGCTGAGCATAAACTTGAGGACTTTCAAAGCAACAGTGTGTCTTGTTCAGTAGCCCCATTTTTATCAGTAAGCGAAGTGTGAGGCTGACTTCAGGTGCTCCTCTTGGCACGGCAGACTACCTGATCTTTGGTCTTCACTTCCTCCATGGTAACATTAGATCAAACCTAATGTGCACCTCAGTGAAAGTAATGGCATGGAAAGGTCTCAGCAGACAGAGTGCTGACAGCTAGCGACAAACACTGGATTTAGTTTAATTATTTTCCCCAAGTTGTGATGTCCTTGCCTCCCTCCGCCCCCACATAGTCTTTCCCTCTTTAAGGGGAGCAGCTCCGCACCCCCAGGACCCTTGTGGTGTTCCTTGCCTGCTTCCAGAAGGAAGCACGTTAGGTCATGGCAGCTCTGGTCTGCAGGGCCTACCCACAATTAAGTCCAAGCCTGAGTGCTGCTCTAAGACACCTCATTAAGCTGGAGCAAAAGCTCTTTGCTCATTTGGGCTCTTGTATTTCTGTGGAAATAAATCATCTTTTAGAAACACTGTTATTTTTCAAATTAACCTTTCCCTTATGTTTGAAATTGATTTGCTTTTGTTCATAAATGGTCCTCTATCCCCACCCCCTGCAGATTCCCACTCACACCCCACCCCCTGCAGATTCATGAAAGGTATGGCAGCCTCCATTAACCCCAAGGGATGGTGCAGGTCCCTTTGGTGGGACAGCTGCAGTATGAGATGACAAAGAACTGTGGAGTTTTCTTTCCCCTTAGCCAAGTTTCACTGTTTGCCAATCCTGGCTCACTGCCATCATACCTGCCCTGTTGAGCATGGGCCTTTGGTCATGACAGATTATCTGACAGAAATGCTCTCCCCTGATCTTTTGTCAGATGTTCACCACAAAAATTACTTTTCCTTCCCTCTCAGATACATATGCAACCCTGACATCATCTTTTTTTGTCTCTCCTCTGAAGCCACCCTCCAGGTCCTCTGCCTTTGAAAACCCTTCCCCAACACAAGTTCCCATTAAGCCCAACTCTAGACACCCAATTTTGTCCCTATCCTCCTTTTAGGCAGTCAAGTGAATATGGGATGGTGAGAATTGAAAAAGGACATTTGGAAGGGGAAATCAAATAGGTACAGTGAGTGCAGAGGGAAGTTAGGTTCTTCACAGAAGAGACTTGGAAATGGACATGGAAGCCACAGGAAAGAAGCCTGCTAGCAGTGCCCAGGGAGATGTAGACTTGCAGAGAGCTCTGGCAGCAGCGCCTGGTTCCAAAAGCAGAGGGCTTTGTGCATTGAGTTCAGGGGTGAGTTTCCCATCACGTGTTAGGTCCAGAGTGTGAGATGACTTTTACCAGCATGCACTTGGTCTGCAGGAACAGAAGCCCCTGCCAGGTCTCTAGCGCACGAGGAGTAATGAAGGGAATCGGTGGTACTGGGCGCCTTGCTGCTCTTGTGAGCCTTGTCTGTGCCAGTGGGCACCTTCATCCCATCCAGGCTTCAAGCTCTTTCCCTCAGTCATAACTCAGCCCCTCCCCCGCCCCGAGGGTTTGCAGAGCAAATCCTCTGTCCTTCCTGCTAAGAGTAGAGCGAAGCAGGTGCACCAATCAATGGAGCGTGCTGAAATGAGTCTTTATTCCTAGAATCTTTATTTGCATAATGGCTTTACTATTGCTCCTCTAGGACTATTTCTGTAGATAATAAGCTTATATTATTTCAGGCCTTCTTACTTGCCAATTCCATGTTAGTTTCCCAGAAGTCCTGTGTTAAGATTCGATGTACTGATATTCAGCACAATTTTTTCCCTGTGCTCTTTACTTGAAGTTGGCAAATCAGATGAAACTGACAGAGGAACAGGACCTTGTTTTTTCAAAAGTACTGCCTCTCAATTATCATTTAGACCAAGGACAGAGGTAGTCATGTGTTTCCTACTAGCATCTGTCCTGGCATGCCACCGTGACTGTGTCCTGATGGATCACTGTCCTCTGTCTGGCAGATAAGTAGGGAGGCTGTTGGAGCCCCGGTGCAGGCCATATTGGTGCATCTCCTTGGACAGTCTCTTCTGGAGCTTCCAAATGAGCAGCTAGGAGAGAACACCTGCATAGCACACACACCCCTCAGACAGGACAAACACTGGCAATAGCACTGTCCTTGTGCTGGGCCAAGCAGTGTCCTGTAGATTCTGGATGGCGAGAGGCTCTTGAGAGGGGGGCCTTATGGACGTGACTCCTTACCAGTCCACACAGGAATATATCTGCCTATTAACCAGCAAGGCCGTGTCAGTGCAGTGGGTGTTCCTGCTAGAGTCCTCTGCAGCTGACCAGGTGACTCAAGAAACCGTGCACCTAAAGAACAGCCTGAGATCAGGTCCTTCCCTCAGGACCAGGGTCCTACCGAGGTTCAGGCTCATCCTTGGGGTATCACCAAGGCTGCTGAAGGTCCTTGTAGCTGCTCTAGATCTTCTGGGTGCAGAGAAATGGCTCCAGGCTCTCACAGTGTTGGCTCTCACATTTCATTGCACATGGGTACTGTTAACTTCCCACTCCCAGGGCCCTGGGCCTATAATGGATGACTACTGACTTCAGCAAGTATCTCAGTGCTTTTGACGGGTGAGCCCCAGGCTGGGTGCCTCCGATTCAAACAGGAAGACACAGTTCACCGTTGCAGTCTGTTGCAAAAGATGCAACATGTCACTGTGCAGGATCAGAAGGCTGAGGTATAAATCACAACAATGTGGAAGCTTGAGGGGCACTGGAGCTGGCTTGCATGTAAGGGCAGTCTGCCATGTTCAACTTGTAAGTTTGGCATGCTAAGTGAGTTTCTTTCAGGATTGTTTTTTCTTCCAGCACAGCGGTAACCTCTGGCAAAGTGGCTGTAAATGGTGTCCACCTGCATTATCAGCTGACCGGAGATGGCAGTCACGCAGTCCTGCTGCTTCCTGGGATGCTAGGTCTGAATGTTTTTAATGGAATGTGTTTTCATGCTCATATTCTCTCTTATGCAGTCACAATACCAGATGCCAAGTATTGATTATTTATCTTAGTGCTTTGCTGAAATATTTTAAGGGATATTTGCTACAATCACACTTGAATGATTTAGAAAAGTAGACCACTTTTTGTGTGTACTTTTTATTCCACTAAGTACCCAGTTTTTTTCCCCTGTGAGTACATTGCATATCACCCAGTTTCCTATAATTTAGGAGGGTGATGGGGTCAAGGAAAGGGGTGTGGGAAGAAGGGGAAGATGAGAGACAAAGGAAAGTTAATGACCAGCCATCCCAGTTTGGGACTTTGAGTGTTAACATGGTCGCTTGAAATAAGAGGTTAAAAAAAAAAAAGCTTAAAGTCCTTTTTTTGAAACAAGATCTCTCTATGTAGAGAGATGTACTGGCCTCACACTTGTGACCTCAGCTTCCTGAGTGCTGGGATTACAGAAGTGTACTACCATACTCAGTGGTGTAAAGTCTTTCTGAAAATCAAATTAGCATATTACCCTTTCTCAATGTGTAGGGCATAGTAAAGCCCACTAGATCTCAACCTTTTTTTACAGAACAATGGATCAGATGTAGAAAGTCCAGGGGGAAAAGCCCTGGACATCTAAACCTTAGTTTAAGGAGTTTAGGATTGTTGCTTTTTAAAATTATTATTTAGCTAAATAATCCCAGTCCATACCTACTTCCTTGTGACTTGCTTCTTTGTTCTAAAAGTAAAGTGCTAACTTTTTCAGTTAATTGGTAGTTCTACTTGAGCAGGTGTCAGCTGATGCAGCAGCAGTGAGGCGTCTTTGTCTGGATGGCATTTGTTACCCCTTTTTCCTGAAGCTATTGTAATGGAGGAGTACAGTTACTTTAGTAGGCAGTGTCCCAACTGAAGTCATCTGTGAGAACAATTTAGAAAGTTAGATTTTCATGATTTTAGTATTGTAATCACTAGCCATGTATAAAACGTTTATCAATTTGAATTTTGTTATGTTACCAATTTAAATTTAAATTTTGTTATGTTAGCATGATTCAGAAATTTAAAAAAATGTAAAAGTGAGTCTCCTATCCTGTTCTCCAGTACCCAGTTTCCCTCCCTGTTAGGCCACTCAGGTATCACATACTAGTAACTAATGTATTCCTTAAACACTTGTGTAAGGTTTTAGTATTCTTGGCTTTGATTTTTCAAGTCCAATGTATACAGAAAACAAATGTCTTGTTGTTTGGGAAGTTGGCCCTTCAGTCTGTTCTTTTTCTCCATCTCTCTACCTCTTGCCACTCTTTCAGAGTAGTTCCTTACACAAGTCCCTCTGGCTTGGGGACACAAGAAAAACTCGTGTGTGAGAGCAGTAGATACAGGCTGGAAATCCATTGATTTTTTTTGGGTGGGGGGAGGGAGGTATCCTGAATGATTCACCTGATTTTTGAGAGAGGAGTACCTTCCAAGGAGGACCTTGATAATGTTAGGTGATCCCATACCACTGGAAAGACCCTTTCTAGTATAGCGAGTCTACCAGACATAGTGTTTAGTGTCCATTCATGGCCTGAGCTCTGAGTCCTCAGAAATCAAGTTGACTTACAGGTAAATGCTGACCTGTTACTGGACTGAGCTCTTGGAGAGTGGCCTCCCATGCTGTCCTGTGGATATAAGTGTACCACAGATCTAGTGACCGTGTGGCCTGCTGGGGACTGCCAGTCAAGGCCACCATAGATTCAAGAATATAGTTTTTCTTGTTAGTGTGGCTTTTTATACTGTTTTGATGAAAAAAAAACCCTAATTTTATTTATTCCACCCCCTCCCAACTTTACTGCTTTACTTATTTTCTGTTTTTTTTTAAATTATAATTACAAAATCCAGTCTTCAGGACTATTCATATTAGCTTAGTAAAAAGCCATCTGAGATTTTAGAATTCTACTTGGAATAACTTATACCAAACCTAATAACTTGCATACGTATGTTATTGGGTTTTGTTTCATTTGTTGGTAATTTCTTTAATAAGAAGAAAAATAACTCAGAAATGTATCCGTAGGTGTCTTCCTCTCTCCCTCCCTCCCTTCCTTCCTTCATTCTTTTGTACTGGGTTTTGAACTCAAGACTTTATGCTTGCTAGGCAGGCTCTTTCCTGCTTGAGCAGTGCCTCCATACTCTGTAGATTTGTTTCTATAGGATTCCATAGATTCCATTAATTCTTTTTTTTTTTAAAGAAAACTTTAATTTTAAATTCTGATCTATGCATAAAATCCATTTTTATATCACAGTTAAATTTAGTACAAACTATAAAAATGTTAACACTGAAGTTTCCAACAGAAATCTATTTAAGATCCCTAAGAAAACTAAAGAAACAACACCAAATCAGTTACTGCTATGAAGTTAATACATAAAGAAAGAACATTCACACATTTTACTGAAATTTTCAGTAAGTTTTAGCCATAATATTCATTGCAAAATTAAAAATTCAAACGTTGTGTGTGGCTCTACAGCAGTTACAATTTGCAATGAAAACACTAAGCCAATCTTTTTGATGTAACCAGAACAATCCTAGTTTAAAAAAACTACTGGCTGAATTTGCAAACCTTAAGGAGGATACCAATTGTGAAGGGAACAGAAGTATAATAACTTAGCTTAAATTAATGCGGAAGACAGTAAAATCTAGATGCTTAAGACTGGATTGCACGAGGAAAATATTAGGGGAAAAACATTCAGAGCCACAGATATTATTTTTAAAAAATATTAGATCATTCTTATATTAAAAACATTAAAATGAATCCAAGCCAGACAGTACTGAATTTTTACACAAGCCTCTTTTGTATTTCGACGCCATTTATTGAGGAGTCAATGAGACTACTGCCAGACATGCCAACAACACTTCACATTCAAGGGCTGGAAGCAGAAAAGCCTCCAAACTGAGTCACTGCATAAGCCTTTTGGGAAAAAGAACCAAAGTGACATCAAATATGACATCCTCATGCTTGTTCTTTTTTCAATCTTTGCACTTACTGGTTTGCTGGGCAGAAGGCTCCTTTTTATCCCACAAAAAGACTCACACTCCAATTTCTAAGTAGAATGAACACTAGGTGTATAGCAATTTGTTTTAACACACATCTATGCTGATTAACTGATCTTAAAGCTGTTTTTAAATGTCCTTATTTCTACTGAGAAAAATTTAATTTTATTTCCCCTTCCCGTCATGTGGGTGCATATACCAATAGAAAAATACTCTTCAGTGCTACCGTAGGGCTTACAGGAACTCCCTCAGTGGTCTGATAGAAATCCATTGCAATTCCACTCTGCACAAAGGGCTGCTCCTCCTGCTTGTGGCTCTCCAGAAGAATGGCCTACACACAACACTACGCTCTCTCTTGCTCAGAAACAAAACAAAGAAACCTAAACAAAAGGGTAAACGTTTATTTGGAGTTAGTTTTCTGGTGGGTGGTATTAAGGCCCTTCAAGCAGAGTTCAGGAGCTCTTGCGTGGCTGCCTGCTGCTCAGGACTGAGCTGTGCTATGCATTCAGTCCACAGTCCTCCAGAAGTCTGTACTTGGCGAACTACATTAGCCAGACGTTTGGCACAAGGATCTTCGTGTTTAATGGCCTCATGCATTTCTCCTTCTGCAATTATACTGAATATTTTGGGCAAATTGGAATTGTTTGGGCCAAGAACAATTGGGTGGTTACTTTCGATCAGGTCACACAGATAATTGAAAGTCTGAACAGCTTCTTCTTTATCTTCATGTAGTGGAAGCCAAGACAGCCAGTGTGGCAGGACTTCTTCAACGTTTAAACAGTCAGGCTTAAACTTCATAATCTTCCCTACTGCTGAGATGCAGTTCTCTGTAGCATTGACATTTTCTTTGGTCTTAGAATCAGCAGACTGAATAACCCTTACAAGCAGTGGAAGGGCTTCTGTACAAAAAGGACGATAGTTATCTCCACCATACTGTGCCATGACGCCCAGGCCATATGCTGCTGCTTGTCTGACTTCTGGGCTATTGTAACATACATACTGCAGCATAGGCCTTAAGAAATATTCTGCATACTTAAATGAGGCTGGACTACAGTGTTCTATGACATCATCAAAGATACACAATCCCCATTGCCTGTCTGGCCATGGTCTATGTGGACAAATTAGGTTGACAATTAATGGAAGCAGCTGCTCAAACCACAGTAACACCTTTTCCTTGTAACTACTGAATATTGAGTGTAAAATATCTGACGCTTTGGTCAGAATATAAACATCATTATCATCCTCATCTTGTAGTGACTCTTCAACCTGTTCATCATAGTCTTCATCTTGTCTTTTAACTTGCCGCAACTCTTGATTTTTAAAATGTTCTTCGAGTTTTGCTTTCAATATACCACCCAGTTCTTCAAAGTGTTCATTATTAAGGCATCCGTCTCCCATGACCTCAATGCACTTTGCGAAAGAATGCATGATTTTTGAGAGGACGTCTGAATCCGGCTTTGTGCCTGTGGCCTTGATTAGAGCATCACACATGAAATGCCACATCTGTGTGAGATATTCAGGACCCCGGACTCTTGCACACTCCAGAAGAAGAGGCATAGATTCTGCTGCTGCCACTCGAACACCATCATGGAAGTAAAATTTCAGTAAAGGGACCATCAGTTTGACAACCTGTTCAGTGTATTCCACAAAACCTTCCTTTAACTCCTTAGCATAGCAAACCAACATCTGGCAAGCAGTTGATTTTTCTTCCAGTCCTGCAGTTTTAATACCAAAGCTTTGCTGATCTCCAAGGTTCACAAATTCCCAGCCATCATCATCACTCATATTCTCCATGTCTTGGGTGTCTAAAAGGGCTACTTCAGGCTTGATTGAAGCAGTCTTCATCAAAGGGCCCATAACCACTGGAAGGTATTGCTGAAATTCTTTTCCAAGGATTTTGCACATTCTGGCCCATGCTGAGATCATGTAAGAGATCTGAGGATCATCATCTTCCATATCATTGAAGTCTGTTTGCGTCTTCAACAACAGCTGCATCACATCTGATGCATCCTGCATGAACTTTTCCTTCCCAACAGCCAGACCAATAAGGCTGATGCATTCAATAGTTTTTCCTCTCAGAAGTCTGAGCTCTTTCTGAACTGCATTCTCAACAATGTGCTTCAGTGATGGCATAAATAAATCATAGTAGGGGACAAATTTTTCTTCTGCAGTATCTGCAACTGATGCAATGGACGTCACAACTTGCTCCAAAACTAACTTGGTGCCTTTCTGAATCAACTCTTGAAGTTTGAGCGCCATGATGGAGTGCAGGTGTTTCACCAAGTCATCTAAGTATGGAGTGAGCAGCAACTTGGGGCAGTCTTCAGTGAAGTTGATGAGAGCAGCAGCAGAATGCGCCTGCACCCGCTGGTTGCCCTGGTCTTCCATGGTCTGGAGCAGAGCTGCAATCACCTTCTCATGAAATTTCTTCTGGAAACCGGTGCAAAATCCGTGGCCATCTGCCCCACAGCATTGCAGGCTGCATACCTTACTCGGGGATGAGGATCCTGAAGGAAAAGCAAAACAAAATTCACTATTTCATTTAAAATTCCTTCCATCTGCTGTGGCACCCTTCACCAATGGCAGATAAGGCCATCAATCCTGCATGCCGGTATTTCCAGTCAGGATTCTGAAGCATCTGCATAATGCGTTCCTTGATCATTGGTAGCACAAGCTTTCCACCAAGGCCACAAGCCATTCGGTCTAACGCACTCTCGCCAGCAACCGCATTGCTATCAAAGTCATCATCTTCTAGTTCATCAGCATTCGCCCAGTCCTCATCCTCTTCCAGATCAACCATCATTGCTAACATCTGAGGAATAGTTTGTGCAACAATATTAGTATGCTTCCTTAACATAGCAGCTGCAGTCTCAGAGAGAGTCACCATCACTTCAAGGGCAAGCTGGCGTTGCATATTGTTGAGGCTAGTGTCTCCACATAACTTTAGACTTAGCTGTAGAGTTGCTTCCAAATGAGGACGCAAATACTTTGGGACAGTATCTGCAATCTCAACAAGGGATTTTAGGACTGAGTCATCATTCTGATAGCATGAGTCATTTACAGCCTGCAAGAACCCAGGTAACAAGTCTGCAAAATGTTTGAACAGCGCAACATTGTGCTCATTTGCAAGTATGAATGCAGCTGTAGCTCTTGCAGATAATGTCCTGATCGATGGATGTTCCTGATCTTGCATACATTGAACTAACATCCGTTTGATGATGTCTAAATAGTGCTGCTGTTGGTTCCCAAAAATTCCAGGGAAATTCCAGAATATGTGAAGAGCAGCTTCCGCAGTCCCATGTTTTGAGAGCTGACTGAATCAAAAAGGAACTTCAAGCCTTCAGGCCACTGGTTGTTGCCATCCTCATCTATTAAATTCCTGGCCAATTCAGCAGCAATATCACAAATTTTTTTCCTCATGCTAGATTGTGTTTCCATCTGAATAATCATTAGTAGTTCACTCTTGATGGCAGTCTGTACATCCGATGGCAGAGTTGGATAGACTTCATCAAATGCAGAGGACAAAAGACGTCTTAGGAGAACGGCAGCCATTTGTCTAGCCTCCTCAGCAGTTGTTGTATTTCTGATGGCTTGTAAGAGGAATGTGATCTTTGACTGGCCTGGGATATTCTCATAGGTTTCCTCCGCTGTTTCCGGACCACATTGTCGGGGCTGAGCAGGTTTCCCAGGAGCAGGTAGAACTGTTGCTGCTCCGCCGCGGCCGTCGCCATTGCGCTAGGCGTGAGAGAGAGAAGGAGGGAGGGGAAGCAGGAGCCGTGAGGCGTGCTGGCGGGCCGGCCCCATTAATTCTTAAAAGCTTAAAATACTGGACCAAATTAAGACTCAGGGCCCCTGTACTTCTCAAAATAGCCACTGGAGGGAGATCGGAGACAAGTCTGACTCCACTAGGAAAGGAAGTTGACCTCTGGATGAATGGATTCAACCATTCCAAGACTATTTTCCTGATTATGTTCTGATGGTTAACTTTCAGTAGAAACCAAAAGCTTTGAGATGGTTAGTGCTTTTGTTTCCACTCTGTGGAAAACAGTATATTTGGTACAATGAAAGCAGAGTCTAGCTAAGTGTCTGTTTTCAGGAAGTGGAGAGACTGATTTTGCACCCCAGCTTAAGAGCCTAAGTAAGACGCTCTTCACAGTAGTTGCCTGGGATCCTCGGGGATATGGGCATTCCAGACCCCCAGATCGAGACTTCCCAATGGACTTTTTTGAAAGAGATGCAAAAGATGCTGTTGACTTGATGAAGGTGAGTCCCAGAAAAGTGCTAAGGGGAGGGAGAGTGGCTGGGCCTGTATTTGTTTATTTTAATTTTGTCATTATTTCTCAATGCAAAGGCAATACCATACGATTCCTATAGAAAGGCCAAAGAGTTCAAATAGATCTAAAGAAGGAAGTACAAGCCAGACTCAGGCCTGTAATCCTAGCTACTCAGGAGGCAGAGATCAGGAGGATCAAGGTTCAAAGCCAGGTAGGGCAAATAGTCTGTGAGATCCTATCTGGAAAAAACCCACCACAAAAAAGGGCTGGTGGAGTGGCTCAAGGTATAGGCCCTGAGTTCAAGCCCCAGTGCTGCAAAAAAAAAAAAAGGAAGTACATAAGTCTTACAGTCTAGCTATTAAGTGGAAAATTCTAGAAATAAAGTTTTTAGTCTTTTTTAAAATTTAAGTTTGTTTTTTAACTGATACATTGAAACATAAAAATTACACATTAATGGGATAATATGATATTTTGACACATGTATACAATGTGTAATGTTCAAGCTAAACATATTTACTCAAAATTTATCTTTTTTTTTTTTCTTTTTTGGTGGTAGTGGAGTTTGAACTCAGGGCTTCATGCTTGTGAGGCAGGTGCTCTACTGCTTGAGCCATACCTTCAGTTCTTTTTTTGTTTTTGTTTTTTTCTTTCCCATTATATTTTCCTTTCGTTCTGGTTATTTTGGAGATACCACTTTTTGCCCAGGTTTGCCTGGACTGTGATCCTCCCATTTTACTCCTCCCACTGTTGCTGAGATAACAGGTGCATGCCACAATGCCTGCCCTTTTTCTGCTGAGATGGGCGTTTCACAAATTTGCCCTGTGTTGGAATTGCAGTCCTCCTGATCTCAGCCTTCCAAGTATCTAGGATTACAGGCATGAGGCACCAAGGCCTGGCTCATTTATCATTTCTTCATAGTGAAAACTTTCATAATACTTTCATCTAGATTTTTGAAATGTAAGTTTATTGTTTGTTATCTACAGCCACCCTCTCTCATTTTGAGTAGTGTGATGAAATCTCACTCTTTGTCCCTCCATCCCATGTAGGATCTGAATCATCCTTTGTCCAGTGTATCTACTTTGTACTATATGTATATGCAGGGAAAAAATATAGTACACATGGGTTTTATTACTACCTATGTTGTCAGACATCCACTGAGGAACTTGGAATGTGCCCTTGTACATAAGAAGGGGATAATTCATTGTGTGGATGTACTGTGCCTCATTTACTTATCATCGATGTTACATAATTAAAGTTTTTTTAATCACAAATAGGAGTGTAGTGAACACTCTGTTGCTCATGGACATTTTAGCTCTCTTTTTTTGTGGATATTATGAACAATGCTGTCATTCTGGACATAGCTCCTAGTAAACATGAGCCAAAGTTTTGCATGAATTTAGGAGACAGTGTTCTGGGTTACAGAAGATACACATGTCCATTTTATAACTTAGTGCCACATCATTGTCCATAGTAGTTATGTCAGCATATATCCCATCAGCAAGTGCCTTGGACTAGTACTTGTTACTGCTTTAATCTTCTCAGTCATTTTATTTTACCTCTAGGCAGTTTCTCCCAGATGCTATGTCCGTTTTCACTGCCAAACACATTTTGAGAACCCTGGTTAATTCACCTGAGGTCTTACCCAGCCTCCCCATGCTGCCACTCTCCTCTGCCTTATCTCCAGCCATCTCTTCCCACATTTGCAGTCAGTGACTTCACCAGATGCCCTCCCTTATGTCTTCCTCCACAGAATCTCTCTCAAAGCCTTGTTCAGGCCTGCATGGGAACATGTATGCACACACACACACACACACAGACACACAGTGCTTGTCATTTCAAAGTATAGCTGATCCCCACTGATTCTGTTCCTTGTCATTTAATCCAACTAGAAGGAATAGTTCCCACGTAATTCAAAACAATGCTATGTACTGAAGTTTTTATGACTTATTTTTATACCACAGCTAATTGAGGGAAAGCAGCATCGTCTCAAGTGGAAGACTCTAGGGTTTTTCTTTTATTACTAATTGATTCTCCAGACCCTGTACCTGTATTTATTTGGATCATTACTGACTTGGTTCCTTTAGCAGTGCAAGTAGTAATCTCTGCTGTGTATCCCAGGCACTGCAGTTTAAGCAGGTCTCTCTGCTGGGCTGGAGTGACGGTGGCATCACTGCTCTCATTGCTGCTGCAAAATACCCATCTTACATCAGCAAGATGGTGATTTGGGGAGCGAATGCCTATGTCACTGATGAAGATGACAGGATTTATCAGGGTAAGTTCTGCAAACCAGAGATGTATGATGACAATCCTTCTTCTTCCTCTTCTCATCTCTTACTGTGATAAGTGTTGACAAGTCATATCTCATCCACACAGTTCTTATCTCTCAGGTTGAAAGAATAATGAGTTCTCAAGAAAGTCATATAATTTAACCAGTCTGGAATTAGATGGCATTCTATTTCTAGAAGTGAAACTTGTACGATTCAGGAAAAGCAGTAGTTACCTTTACACCACTGATAGTGAACTTGAGGGAAGGAGGGAGCTATGTAAAGTGTTATTCATAATCTCATTTAAAATAATATAAAAGCTGGGTGTGGTGGCCTGCATCTGAAATCCTAGAACTCTGGAGGCTGAGGCAGGAGGATCATGAACTTGAGACCAGCCTGGGTTACATAGTGACACCCTCTCTCAAAGAATAATAACAATAAAGAAAAAGTAAATGTGAATGTAAATAGGAGCATTGAATTCAAATACAAAACATTGTATTTTGGTTAAAAGAATTTCTGTGCAACTTGCATTTTTAAGGTGTCCTTCAAGCTTCTCCTTGAGATCTTTAGAGGCACTAGAGCAGGAACCAGCAAACTGCAGCCTGTGGGTCAAATGCAGCCTTGCACAAATTGAAAAAGCCAGTTCTGTAAGCCATGGACACCAAGCTGGGGTGTCTACTCACTCCCCCTTTTCATTTCTTTTCCACTGCCAGCATTGCTGTGCAGAGCCTGCAGTGGTGCCCAGCCATGGATTGCTCAGCCTCCAGCAAGCTACCCAAATTGAGATGGCCAGGCTCTCAGGAGAGAAGATTGCTCCAGGATCTGGGGCTACTAGAGCAAAAAGTGAAACTGACCTTAGTTGCTCTGCCACCTCCACTTGCCAGCCTGACCCACCAGGGGCCCCTTGAGGCTGGTAGCTTTGCATCCCAGGTGTGTTTCAACAGAACACAGATGGCCCATCTCAGGCAATTGGATCTAGGTGGATCAGGCATTTTCTTTCCTCATAGGTACAAGCATCTTTATCATGTGTGTTACTAGCCTCTTGGCCTGCAAAGCCAGAAAATTTTTTCTCTAGTCCTGTACAGAAAAGTTGGACTGGCTACCACAAACCTAGTCTTTTCCTGCTGTTTTGCAGTTCACATGACTTAGTGAGCTACTTGGTGATCATGTCTTGTTGAAGAATCTCAGTTCTTCATAGTCTTCCTATGTTTTAGAGAAATACTAAGTGCGATTTAGTTACCAATCCTTGTCTGTCCTCTTAATTGTTGTCATTGTCCTCTTTCCTTGCTTCACATCTCTTTTGTGCAGAGTAAGCCCTTCTACTTGTGTTGCTGTCTAGGCCATCCACTGCTTCTGGCCCAGAATGCCTTTACTTCTCCTGAACCAGTGACTCCCCTCTACTGGACCCTTTCTCTCAGACTGTGAAGGTGGGCATGGTTCCTCCTTCCAAATGTTGCCCCTCTTCCCTGTAGTTACTACATTACCATTCTGTCCTTTCCCTGGACTTACTGAAAGAAACTTCTGCTTTCTTTGCTTCACTCTACTGAATCAGTTTTTACTATAACTTCTTGTCAAAGATGGTGGATACTTTTAGAGTTTATAGTATTCTCTCATTTCCTTCTAAACATTTGCAGGGCTTGTAGTCATACCCTTTGTGTTAGTTTTCTTTTGCTGTGAAAAAATACCTGAGCAAATCAACTTAAAGGAAGATTGATTTTGGCTCATAGTTTCAGAGGTTTCAGCCCATGGTCAGCTGGCTCCATTGCTGAGTCTGGTGAGGCAGAACATCATGGCTATGGGAGTTTGTGGCACAGCCCAGCTGCTCACCTCATGGCAGACAGGAAGTAGAGAGACAAGAAGAGGCCAGGGAAGAGATACACTCTTCAAAGACACAATGGCCTACTTCTTCTAATCAAGCCGTGCCTCTTAATAGCTATGAATTAATCAATAGATTAACCCATTGAGGAGGTTAGGATTGTCATGAGGCATTCCAATGTATATATTAAACTTTATCATAGTAGGGATGTATAGAAAACAAAATATATATGTAGAGTTCAGTACTATCCATGGTTTCAGGCATTTGAAGACAAAGTTCATCTCTCTTCCAAGTTCACATTAGTGGTAACTAGTCCATAATGTTTACTGGATTCATTCACTAAATAATGATGAGTGAGCAAGTTTGCTTCATTACATTTCCAGTGTTTAGCACAGAGTCTGTGCTCAAAAAAAGAGAAATATATCAGTTTCTTTTGGAATCCAAATTCTGTTTTTGCATCAGTATATGGTTTGATTCAGATAGTTATTTTGGGAACTTAACTATGAAGCATAATTACTACATAATTTTTGGTGGTAATTATGGTTGGGGGCAAAATTATCTTCTTGAAATAAACCAGCAGAAGTAAATATATAAATACAAAGAATATTTTCAAGTGTGTGTTACATGCGAGGAGCTGTAGGTAGCACATTTCATGTATTAACTCTTTTACTCTTTACTCCAGATATTGGTGACACCCTAGTATCACCATAAAAAAAAAAAATCATGTTGAACATTGGCTAACTTTTGTTTTTGGCAGTACTGGGGTTTGAACTAAGGACATTGTGCTTGTTAGGCAGGCGCTCTACCACTTGAGCCACTCCACCAGCTCCCAACTTGGTTCTTAGATGTCTGGGCCTACACATCAGAGAGAACTTCTTTTCCTAACTGTTCTTAGTTCCTGTATAATTTTGACAGGTGTGCTTCAGCCCATGTGGCATATGTGATTTGTGATGTGCATGGAGCCACCATGGAGCCCAGGACTGCTCACACTAACACCCTTGCTGTGTCCGTGTGCTTCCTCTCCGCTCACCCTCTACGCCACGGCGCCCTCCACATCCTCCTTATGCCTTTGTGAAAGCAGTTTTATCACATGTGTTTATATTTCTAAACAACCTACAGTTTGTTTTGAGCTTTGCGGAAATGCTTTCATGCTCTTTATTGTCTGTTCTGACTTGCCTTTTCCACTTTACATTCATCATACTTCTTGTAGCTGCAGTGCATTAGTTTTCATTGCTGTATTGTAGTTCAAAGACACTCTAGACAAGTATGGCGGGTTTAACTGTGCATTCTTTTACTGCTGACAGCTGGTTTATCTCCAGTGTTGCTTTGAATAGTGAACATCCTCCTACTGCCTCCTTAGCACAAGAATAACAGTATCTCCAGAGTAGGACCCCACAGTGAAGTTGCTGACTGTCATGTGTGCAGACACCTCACGTGAATCTGAAGACAAACTGAACAGTGGGCATAACTGAGAAGATCTGTGGTTGCTCCTCTGCTGATGGTTGCATTTCCCCTCGAGCAGCGTTGCTGTGGAGTCACTCTCCTGCCTTTGCTCTGTGTTCAGAGCTCTCTTTCTTCCCTTCCATCAAGGCATCAGAATGCTTTTTTAAAAAAGATCCAGTTCTCCTGCAAGAGGGCCCTTCACAGATGGGCATGGTCTGCCTGATAGCCCAAGTAGAATTGTCTACAGGGAATTTCATTATCTCACGGGGAAAGAGGTGCTAGGGATTGAGCCTCACACATGCACGTGATTTACCACTGAGCTGCCCCGGCACCTCTATAGGGAATGTTTTTTTTACTGGCTTTCTTCACACCATCTTGCCAGCTTCTCTCTCTCTTCCCCTCTCCCAACATTCTGGGTTTTTTCTTGTTTGTTTTTTGCTTTTTTGGTGGTATTGAGGTTTGAAGTCAGGGCCTCACACTTGCTAGGCAGGCACTCTACCACTTGAGTCATGCTTTGATTATTTTTGAGATAGAGTCTCACATTTATGTCTCAGCTGGCCTGGACCATGAGCCTCCTGTTTATGCTCCCCATGTAGCTGGAATGACAGGTGGCTGTGTCACTGCACTCAACTTTTTTTTTTTGAATTGTTTGAGATGAAGGTCTCAAAACTTTTTCCCAGGCTTGCTCAAAGCACAATCCTCCCAACCTCCAGCTCCTGAATAGCTAGGACAACTCTCTGTTTTTTATTTCAGGCTGATTCTCTATGTCCATTCAGTTATTTCTGTCCAAGAGTACACTCTGAGTGCCTGCCAGGCACTGAGCCCCATCCAGAGCTCTGTGTGGATTGTTGTTTGATGTGAGTTCATGTTGGTCAGTGTTGTCTTGTCTTTCAGGTGTGTCCTTTAGCACCCTATTGAGGACTCTCAATAAGCAATAGTTAATATGCTCAAGAGCACTGGAATCTTTATCACAGTGCTTAAAGAAGTATGGAAAAGATTGAGCTAAGTAATCACATTTTTGGGATGCTTTTTTGGGTTATAAAAGCCATTTTTAGACAAAACAAGTTTACAAAAGAAAAAAGATACAGAAAAAAGAATAACTTGCTTTGTATATCCCTAAAAGAAAAAAATAATAACCAACATGCTCAACAGTAAGGGGTTCTTATTCTTTTTTTTTTTAAATACAAAATACAAGCAAAGGATGAACATACTTAAATCTTAGGAGAAGACATATAGTCCTAGAAACCCTTCAATAAGAGCAAAGCAGGAGTTTGTTTTTCACTTTGTTTATGCAGATACATACGGAGACTGGGATATGTAAAAATTAAGTATCACAAAAGACTATCACACGAATTCTACCAATGCATGTTTTATCTATAAGTCACAACATGGTCAACAAAATTATGTTCACTTCAACCCCATTTCATTTAAATTAAAAAAAACCTTTTAAATAAAGTGGTTATATTCAAACTTACGGACCATTTTCAAGGTACTTTTTAGCTATCGTTTCTTTCCTACTAATGAATCATCTATAATATAGTTTGAAGTTAGTAGTTAGTTTAAACACCCTATTTCTTCAGTAGCAGAACTTCTAATAAATGATCTGCATATTTTTCTTAATGTACCAGAAGTCTGTACCTATATCTGTATCTGTGAGATTCTGCATTTGTGGATTCAAGAAGCCATGGTTGAAAATATTTGAAAAAATAATTATGCCTGAATATTTACTGAGTTTTTTTGTCATTATACCTTAAACAATTCAGTAATCTATTTATATGGCATTTAAATTATATTGGGTAAATATTTAGAGATTATTTAAAATATGTGGGAAGATGTGTGTCAGTTTTCTGCAAATACTACATTTTATAGAAGGGACTTGAGTATCCAAGATTTTAGAATCAATGGGGGTTCCTGGATCCAGGTCCTTCTACACCAAGGGATAACTGTAATGCCACTGCTACTCAGATGACCCCCATGAGAGGAATATTTTATTTTATCTTACACCTTTAACAGAAAGTATTCAGTGTAGGTCTGATTTCATCCTCTTACTGTTTTCTGTATGTCTGTTTTGTGGGAGACACCGGCCTATCCCCAGTGTATAGCAGGGCACAAAGCAAAAGCCCTTGTCCTGGGTGCACTTCAGGACAAGTGAGCCATGAATGTAGGAAACTCTGCAAAGCAGTAGTGAGTACTAAGGTCAGGGGGTGTCTGACTTGTGAGCAGATATCTGGAAGATGTGAGGAGTGAGCCTTGCAGGGACGGGGAGGCCTTCCAAGCAGATGGGACAGGGAGCATGAAGCTTAGAGGTGCCCTGTACCTGGGATATGTAAAGTTAGTACCTTATAATGAAACTAAACCCATTCTTGTCCACACTCTGTTTTTCAGGTATCCGAGACGTTTCTAAATGGAGTGAGAAAGCAAGAAAGCCTCTAGAAACCCTGTATGGGTATGACTACTTTGCCAAAACCTGTGAAAAGTGGGTGGATGGCATAAAACAGTTTAAACACCTGCCAGATGGTAGGTGGCATGGACTATTTAATGGTTCCCTCGCCCTGATGTTGTAGCATCCGCAGTGATCAGTGAGCCCACTGTTGTCCTCACATACTGATGTGTGTTGCATGCAGCACGAGTGCTTTGTGTAGCAAACCTGCCTTCAACTTGAGGCTTGTATTAACATTTTTGAGCCTTTGATAGTAGTCTGTTCTTTCTTCCTTCAGGCCTTTCTGTGTGTGTGTGTGTGTGTGTGTGTGTGTGTGTGTGTGATGACAAAACTCTTCTTCAGAAGCCTGCGTTTCTACTTTGTAATTTAAGAATGGGTAACTAGAAAACAAATGAACTACAATATAGACAGTACTTTTTCCCTTTTTACCATTTAGATGTGTCACCCCACTACTCATCTTCTCTCACTAGAACAAAGCAAGAGGAAGTCCCTGTCTGTTATGATCTTCAACCCCAGCAGAATTAGTGTGGAGAAGAGAGCATTGAATTCTTTCCCATCTTCAGAACCAAGTTATGTGACCTTAGCCATGAATACATATCTCCATTTCTCTCTTCTTTTTTCTTTTTCTTTTTTTTTTTTTTTCAGTACTGGAGTTTGAACTCAGAGCCTCATGCTTGCTAAACAGGCACTCTACCATTTGAGCCACTCTGCTAGCCTATCTCTCTTTCTTTATCTGAAGAATCAGCAAGATTCTTAAGACTTGGGATGATTAAAGATACTTCTGAATTAAAGTCTGGTTTTATATAGCTCAGTGTCAGTTAGCTTTCTGGTAGTATCCTGGATAACAAGTACCCTGGATAACCGACTTAATAAGAGAAAAGGTTTATTTTGCTTCATAGTATTGGAGGTGCCAGTCCATGATTAGGGAGGTGCATTGCTTTCAGGCCAGTAGTGAGGCAATACATCATGTGAGGAGCACATAGTAAAACGACTTTCCTGATGGCAGAAGTGAAAGAGAGAAAGAGGAAGGGGCTGAGGTTCCATAGTCTCCTTCAAGAGCATACCCCCAGTAATCTGAAGACCTCTGTTAGACCCCATGTCTTAAAGGTTTCACTACCTCCCAAAAGAGCCACTCCAGTATACAGACCTTCAATACATGGACCTTTGGGGGACATTTAAGATCCAAACTGTAGCAAGCTATGTTTAGAATCTCTCAGTTTTCTTTCTTTTCTTTTTTTAATAATAACAGAAGGAATAGATGATTCACTCTTGGAGACATTCATTACAGAATGCTTGTGAGTGAAGGACTAATTTAATCTATCTGGTAGTCATTTCTAGCACACATCATCTGTCATATCAAAACTTTCACAATGAGCCCTTTTTTTTCTCTCTCTGCTTCCTCCAAATACCTGTCCCATCATGGCTGTCTGTAACTTTTTCCATAATCTTTAATAAACTCCATTACTTCCCTTACTAAAAACAAACAAAACTTTCACAACAAAAAGGACTTTAAGTTCAAAATAGTATATATATGCCTTACTGTGATCCTGTTCAAATGCAATTATTTGCCCATAGAAACAAGTTCTTGAAACCTGCTTCCCTCTACTCTAAAACAAAGTGATCTTTGAGACAGTTCTCTATTAAAGAATTTACACTGAAAAATGCAGACTTTTATACTTCACTGAAGAGGGCAACAAAGGGATAGGAAGACCGAAGACAAAATTAGTTTAATCAGCATTTCAAAACTATGTCATCAGCTGGTGGAGTGGCTCAAGAGGTAGAGTGCTTGCATAGTATGTGTGAGGCCCTGAGTTCAAGCCCCAGTGCTCCCTCCAAAAAAAAAACAAAAAAAATTACGTCACAATGTAGACGATCTAGCCGTGTAGAAATCATCTCACAGCAAGACTGAACAATTTATCCGCCTCCCATGCTAATTAATTTGTCAGGAGTCCTTTTTCATAATTGTATACTGAAGTTCATATATACTTGGTTTAGCATAGGGATTAATTGCAGTTTTGGAGTCAGGATGGTCTGGATTTGAAGTTTGGCTCTGCCATGTAGCTTGCTATCAGTGTTCTGCACTTCACTTTCTTGTCTGTGACCTGAACATGCTAATACCTACCTCATATAGTTGTGGAGGGCTTAAGTGGGTGATAGATGTGCAGTTGTGGTGTAGTGCCACGTACAGTTTCATGAATGATTGCTGTTACAGAAGCACTCCTTACAAATGATTGCTGGTACCAAGTGAGGTAAAATGTGTAAGTACTATAAGGGTTTATGCGGTGCTTTAAATAGTTCCTGGTGCACAGTGAGCATTCAGGAATGCTGGCTTTTGTAATCATCATTTAATTATACAACTGGTAGGTGCATGCTGTTCCAGGGACAGGAGACGGAAGCTTCAGAGACCTAGAGAAGTATTTCCCTGGTCAACGAGTCACTGCTTATTTGGTGGGGAACAACCACCAGCCTAAGAGGAGGACAGAGGCCTGGTGCCCAGTGGGCAGCCCTGCATGTCTGCCTCCCAGCTAGTGCTGCTACACCACTTTTCTTTTGATACAGGACAGAGATGGGAGGAGGGTGGAGGAAGGAGCCTGCCTCATGGATGCCCAGAACCCTTGTGGTGCTCTGTTTAGCCTTGAAACAACTGCTGGGAACTATGACTATTCCTGTTCGAGACTGAAGCTCTAGTGGTTAAGGAGCCACCAAGATTTCAGAGCCAGGAGCCTGGAGCCTAGACTCTTATCAGTGCCTCAGAAGTGCTGTTCTCAGTGTCTCTCAGAGGTGTGTTAGTCAGGAGTGAAAAGGAGTGCTAGCAGTGAAAAGCAGCCATTGTGAGGACCATGTACCTTGAGGGTGGGCTGGGCTTCATGACCATTTGCGATGTGACCTCAGGGAAAAGCTTTCCAGTGTCAGGTGTCTTCCCAGTGGCTGATGGGCTGCCCCTGTGTGATATAAAGAGTTGTGGGGTTTTCTTTGTTTGATTTTCCTACCATTTTACATGAATTATGAATTTGAATCAAAGCTTTTGTTTACTAGTAGAGCTTAAAAATAAAAAAGAGCACAGATATGGAGATGAAAACCCCAAGAAGGTTGGGAGCTGGAAGGAACCCCAAACCCAAACCTGTTTTCACAGACAGGGAAATTGAGATCTAGAGAGGGGCATATTTTAGTGAGCTTTCCATCTCACTAAATTATCTAAGATAATTAAATTATAAGATAGAAGATTTATTTTGGCTTATAGTTCTGGAAGTTCCAGTCTGTAATCAAGTGGTCCCATTGCTTGGTGTTACTGGTGGGAACAAGTGACTGAACAAAACTGCTTACAACATACAATGCAGAACAAAAGGGAAGAAGGCTGCCATCCCACAATCCCCTTGAAGGGCATGCCCTGTGACCTAAGGACTTCCCACAAGACCCCCTCTTAAAGGTTCTACCACTTCCTAATGGCACCTCTCTGAGAACCAAGCCTTTAACTCATGGCAGTTGGGACACATTACAGATCCAAACTATCAGTGTAACCCTGTGAGCTCTGTTTCTTTGTCACCCTGTGGAAGGGTTATGCTAAGGTAGATTTCCGTGCTGTTTGTCTTTTAGGTAACATCTGTCGGCACTTGCTGCCCCTGATTCAGTGCCCCACCCTAATTGTACACGGAGAGAAGGATCCTCTAGTCCCGCGTTTTCATGCTGACTTCATACACAAGCATGTGAAAGATTCACGGTAAATCCAGTCACCTCAGCACCCCTGTCCCCAAAGCTTTGGAATGAATGAGAGAAGCCACATGAGGGAAAAGAAGTAGAAGTGGGGATTCTAGGGTGCATACCCCCATTGGGCCAATTGTATCACTGTGTTTAGGGTACTGTAGTAACATGGAGGACAGGAACCCTGATCTGTGGGAAACCAGTGGCTAGAAGGCAAGGGCTACTCTGATAAATGTCTTACTATTATGAAGGACAAATGCATAATGGGTACTAAGGTCTATAACATGATGACAGTTTAGATTTGTACCAGCCGTTATTAACTGAAGCAATTTCATGTAATTTGGGAATTTTTAGTTTTTTTTTTTTTTGGTTTTTACCTGCCCAGCCCAAAAACAAAAAAACAAAAAATATAAAATCAGGACAGGAAAACAAATTTTCCATTGCTTGCCACCCACTTAAATACTAGCATCATTTGCATTTTTGTGCATGGATATACTCATCTTCTACATTCAACTCTAAATCATTTTAGTTCTTCTCACTTAAAATTAAGCTGTAAATTTTTCATGTTGTTTCAGCCTAAAATGTGTACACACCAAAGTAGTACCCAGCCGTAGGGATGGCTCACTAGATTAAATGGTAGGTTCATCTCACTAGCTCTTTTTATCCTTATTTCTGCCAGCCATCCTTGGACATCAGAAAACCTTATATGATATGTCAGCAGAACTTGTGTTATTCATTCAATCTCATCAGTTTTTGTATGAAATAGAAATTTATGTTTTAAATACTTTGGAGCCAACTTTTCTAGTACTTTTTATCAGGATAGAAATTCAGAATTGAATAAGCTCCTTTTTCCTTCACATGCCACGGATGCATATCCTGGAGATGAGAATGAGGTATTATGGGGAGATCAGTGGCCTGATTTTTATTATTAAACAAATATATTAGAAAATGAACATCCAAATAAGCCTTGACCCTTCAGAGACTGCATGTTAATTCCCAACATCTCTAAATTACTCAGAAGTCTTTGGAATTCTATGGAATTCTTTTGAAATTGGACTTCTTAGCAATTTAAGAAAATCCTCCCTCCCTCCTTCACCCCTTGTGCCTGTTCCTGGTGCCTGTTGAGGGCCAGGACTGCTCAGCACCCTTCTTTGTAGTCCCTGTCCTTAAAGCTGTGCTATGTAGCAGGGAAGGCAGCTCCCAGACAGTTCTACTGCCTCCCAATGATTCTTTTCCACAGTACATTTTAACAGTGGGTTTCTCTAAGAGTATTTAAACATAGGGGGATGTTTCTTATTCTCTGGCAAGATATAATTACTGTAAACCTTCTCAATTTGTGTATGTGTGTGTGTAAAGAGAGCATTCTTTAAATTAAAAGGCATCTCTATTCCATACTTTGCCTCCTGTACCAATTCAACCATCAATCAAAAATATACACAGCATACATAGCACATAATCCATGTGGCTAGAACACATGGATTACACTGAAAAGTGGGTTACACTGTGGGTCTGGAGATGTGGCTCAAGTAGTAGCGTGCCTGCCTAGCAAATACAAAGCCCTGCACCAAACACACACGCACAAAAATGCACTGTGGATGGACACAGAGGTTTTTGCTAGAAGTTTATAAATTGATTTATACTATTTATACTATACCTTAATGAAACTAGAATACTACTTCATGGTTGTGCTACAAAATCCAAACATTATAATTTTGTGGCACAAAATTAAAAATTACTTTTTATTAATCATTCCAAAAGTTCTATATAATCTCAGTCTTTGTGTTTTAATTTACTTTTATATATTTTTGTACAATGTGGTTTTCCATACAACATTTTATATTTTAAAAAGCATTTTACATAAAATACCTAATTATACTTCACTGAAAACTTATGAAAAACATATGCTTTTTACAGATGAGAAATCAAGGCTTCTCGATGTCAGGTGATCTTTCAGGTTGGATAGCTGTAAACCACAAATCCTGGATTGTTTCGTCCTCCTATCATGCATTTACACTGCAGCACAGCTGCCTCTCACAAATAGGCTCCTAGTGTGATGGTTTGATGCCTGGAATAATATGCTAGGTGGCCTGGTTACTCATCTTACATCTCAGAAGTGACAGGTTTTTGTACACTGTGCTCCCTTAAAGGGAATAATTCAATAAAAGTCAATCTGACTGGAGTTGTGGCTCAAGTGGTAGAGTGCCTGCTTTGCAAGCGCAAAACCCTGAGTTCAAACTCCAGTCCCACCAAAAAAAAAAAAAAAGTCAATCTGCAGGAATGTTTAGTTTAGGAATTCTGTCCCAGATCCATTTCCTAGCAACAGAATACATCAATATGGGAGAAATGTGCATATTAATCATTCCAGAAGACTATTTTATGGAAGATCATTTTCTTACAACAGTCTTCTTGGAACAAGTGGGTTGAAGGTAAATTGTTATTACCAATGATTGTCTAAAACTGGCCTGTATTTTCCACTTCCTCTGCTAAAAGACCCTGTATGTTGAGGAGGAACCTACCTAGAACATGATTGGCTTATCCTCTTATGTGAAAAAGGAAGCTGGATTCCTATAGTTCCAAAATCATACTGTGATTCGTACACCATGCCATCTGACAATAGGGAAGCAGCTCAGTGTGGCAAGCTTCTGATGAACTTGACATATCATGTATAACACAAGCACCAACCTGCCTTTCCTTCCTCAGTAGGAGACCTACTTCCAGCTTATGTTGATTTGTCTCCTTCCTTTCTGTTTTCTCTCATTGTGGGAGAGAAATCATAGAGTCACTTGGAAGCAAAGAGGCCTTGCAGATCATTCAAGTTCAGTGGTTTTCAAACTATTTTCAGGCAGCTGAATCCTTCCCCCTAAGAAACTCTTGTGTAGACATCTGGGATATGAAACACACAATGAGAGCTGCTTTGATTTCAGCAGTGACAAGAACAGGCCCTGCTCTTTGGGTCCTTCTGCTCTGGCCCCCACCTCGGGGCCTCTTCATGTTCAGAGTACTGATGGGGCTTCTTACCTGTGTAGCTCATCAGCTTCTTGTGGGCGCCCCTGTTACCGGCACAGCATCCCTGTGTGACCAGCCCCAGCTTGCTCTCAGAGCATTCTCCTTAGCAGAGGTTGGCACTCGTTATATCTTTGGGTCAGGGTGGATAGGCCCTGGGAGGCAGTAGGACTGGGCTAGCTCAGAAGGGGTTGTGACTGCACAGCTAGGTCAATTACACTGTTCTTAGGGAGCATCCTGTGAAATATCCTGCCCTCTGCCCCAACTTTAGCACATTATGAATATTAGTAGATGAGTATTTAGGTGTGTCAGTTAGCTTTTTTTTGTCTCAGTGACCAAATACCTGACAGGAACAACTCAAGGGAAGAAAGATTTATTTTGGCTCACAGTTTCAGAGGGTTCATTCCATGCCCTCTTGGCCCCATGCACTTGGGCAGAACGTGATGGTTGTGGGATCTTGTGGTAGAGGAGTTTCTTCACCTCATGGTGGACAGGAAGCATAGAAAAAGAGAAGGGCCTGGGAAAAGATTTAGCCACCAAGGATATACCCCTCCCCCACAGTATCCCACTTCTTTTTAGTTACACTGCATCTCCCAAAGTCTCCAGAACCTCCCAAGATAGTGCCACCAGCTAGGAATTAAACCCCCAATACAGGAGCCCTTTTGGGAGACACTTCATATCCAAACCATAATATTCAAATTCTCCAGAGAAACGGAACTATCAATGTGTGTGTGTGTGTGTGTGTGTGTGTGTGTGTGTACAAAAACTTACGAGGAATTGACACTTGCAGTTATGGAAACTGCAAAATTCCAAGATCTACAGGGTGAATTAGCAAGCTGGAGACCCAGGAGAGCCAATGGCAGGGCTATAATCTGAGTCCAAAGACCTAAGAACCAGGAGAGATCATGGTGTAAGCTGGCCAACTCAAGACCAAGAAGAGCCACTGATTCAGCTCAAGTTCAAAGTCTGGGAAAAGCTGATGTTCCAGGTTGAAGGCTATCAGGCAGGAGGAATTCTCTCCCTTAGCCTTTTTGTTCTATTTAGACCTTCAACAGATTGGCCCAGCCCCACCCACACCCATATCAGGGAGGGCAATTGCTTTACTTGGTCTACTGATTCAAATACTAATATCAACCAGAAACACAACCAGAATACTGTTTGACCAAATTTCTGGGCACACTGAAGCCCGGTCAAGTTGTTAGATATTTACTATCATAGTGAGGAAGGAATGAGTAGTACAAAACCTCTCTCTAGAGGTTTTGGTCTTGGGGTTTACTGGATGGTGTGCTGGCAGCTTGGCAGTGAGGGACATCTAGGTAGTAGGCTAGGTGCTGTCCTCTCTCTGGGTGGCAGAAGGGAGGAAAGGGCCTCTTTCTGAAGCCTCCTGGGATCTTCAAAAGTGGCTTCCAATGATAAGATGCCCCAACCCTCTGGAGCAGATTATGGGAGTTGTATACTAGCTGGAGCGACAGCAGTTGACCTGGGAAAACCAGGTTCACACCAGTGACTAAGGTCCTTTTTCTGCTCTGTAGAAAAGCAATGCCAGTTTACTGGAGGAGGTATATACCATGGGAAGGGTGCCTGCTGCAATGTCTACTTCTGGATCATGTACTGCCTGGGGGCTCCTGCTCTTAATGTCCCAGGTGACTTTCCCTACCCGGATGGCTCAGGTGGATGGGAGGCAGTCAGCTCTAGACTTCATTTGTGATCAGATGGGATTCACTTCAAACAAGTAGCCAGTGCTTACAAAATTAAGTCTGACTCTAGACAACTCTTACCCATGGTTGCAAAGCCTTTCTTAAGAGAAGACTCTTGCAATCTTCTTAATCTTTCTTAAGAAAAGGTCTTCTGTCAGTGAACAAATGTAAATTAATTGTGCTCCCCTGAGTTGGAGGATCTCTTTAATATGCTGCACACAATTAGAACATTCCTAAGGCTTTTTATCAAGTACAGTGTATAATAAAAACATAGAAGACACTTACTAAATGCTTACTGTGTGCCTACAGACTCTGTGCTACCTATCTTACATGCATGGTCTCATTTCATCCTCAGAATAATCCCATGGGGTAGATAGTGTCACTATCCCCATTTTCCAGATGAGGAATGGTGGCTTAGGGAGATGATAGAACCTGCCAAAATAGAGTCCATGATGGTGAAATCAGACTTGTCCTGACTCCATAGAGCCCATACATTTAACCCATTGATGGTTTATGTCCAGATGCCAGGGAAAAAAGCTATCACCACACTTGGAAGACCCTAGCCAGATCCCTAGGGCCCCAGTGGGTTTGGAAAGGCTTTGTCCTCCACACACGTTAGCAGAGCATCAGTCTGGTAGAGCTGGCAGAAGTGGTCTACTCTGTTGTGGCATGGCTGAGAAAGCAGCCTCTGTGGCAGTTGTGTGAGACCTGGTTGGACTTAAGAAAAGGAGTTTCTCAGTGAGATGTCCTGACTTCCAAATGCCTTATGGGGTAAAGGTTGGGGTCCAGGCCCTCTCCCAACTTTACCAGCTGGAAGGAGCTTACGCCTCACCCATCATTACCTTTTCTTAAAGGGTTTAGAACTAGAGGCAGAATGAGAAAAGAAAAAGCTTCATTTCTAAATGAAAAGGGGCTGTTAAGGGCCATCAGGTTTGCATGGTTCTGGAAGGAATGCCTCATGAGGACAATGGTTCTGGAAGGAATGCCTCATGAGGACAGGGCCTCCCTATAGTCATGCTGCCATCCATATTCATGATGGAAGATATCCTGGCACAAAGAACAGCAGCTCCTCTGGTTTCCATTGAAAACAGAAGCGTTCACTCTATTCTGGCCATTTTATAGGTTTACAAACAAATGAGTGTTCTGTCACATTTATCCAAAGTGAAGACATACAAGGGCTATGCAGCAGCACATTCCTTATGGCCTTGTCACTAAAGAGTCTGGTCTGAAAGCTGGAAAAAGAGAAAGTGAGGATGGAAATGTAGCATGGTGAGTTCAATGTTTCCCCTATACCACTTTGACCTGGAAGGACTAGATCAAGCAGAGCTGAGGTGACCACTAGATTTACACTACATAGCTTCTTATTGCCCAAAAGACCTAGAGTCATGTCTCTTCCTAAAGGTGCTAGATGCCACAAGGAACCCACCTGGCAAATAGGCACTTATGTACACCCTCATCGCCAACTGAGCCATGTGTTTGAGGGGAGGAGTCCTAATGTTCGTGGAAAACTACTCTCTTGGGGCATTGATTAGATCCTTTTGCTGTCTGGGTGAGAATTAGGTCAAGAGCAGAGTCACTGCATGGCCTTGATAGCCAGTATGCCTGTCTGTTGTCCTGTTCCTAAAGAGGAACATATGCTAGGTGGTATGATACAGTGAATCCTGTGTCAGAACTGAAGGAGGAAGGTGTGCTAAGGTCTTCAAATCACCCTCAAAAGGTATTAGGAGAACAGTTTTCTTCATACTCTTTGTGTGTCTGTTCACCTACCCATCTGGCATCCAGGGCGGGTCTCTTACTTTTTTTGTAAAGAGGACCAATTTTCATTTTCCACAAGTACTAGAGATTCAATAGAAAGACTACAGGCAATACTGAATGGCTATAAAGAAGGGATTCACAGCTGGTGTCTCTTTCCCTCCATATTGGGAACCAGCAAATTATAGAAACAGGGTAGAGCTAGGGATAGTCAGACTGGCTCTGTCCAGAGGACTTCAAGTTGGTCAGGCCCTGGCCTCTGCTTCAGAATCCCACATAGCTCAGGTCAGGGGGTGCATTTTAGCCTGGATATGCCCTTCTATTGCTTCTCTTGGCAGCTGGTTCTTTTCTGTCTTCCTGAGCATCTGTAGAAGCCCCAAGACTTGTGCAGAGGAACTGGGCTCCTGTCTTTGGGGTTGCTGCAGCATGTCTTTTCTGAATAACAAAAGTTGAACTTAGAATGATCTGATTATTAACCTTTCAAAGGTCTCCAAAAGATGTTCTTTCAAATTGTTTATTTTGGTCGCCACCCCTGCCACCAACATGGCTGAGTTGTAAGAGGCCTGACATCTTCCAATGACAGCTTCCTTCCCCAGGAGTCCTCTCTAGAGCCACTGAGGTTCTTGAGAGATTGAGCCCCAGCTTCTCTGAAAGATCAGAGATGTACACAATGTGGTCACTAGAATTTTGCCCCAGTGTCATCCTTTTAACATCCACTTGTCAGCAGCTTGAACTTGTGCTTGCATCCTCCAAGTTTTAATTTATTTTTTTCTCTATTGGTATACTTTGGTAGCTAATATAGAACTTAGAGAAAGTTGTCTTTATTATTAAAGAAACTACTAACTGTCCCCTTTGACTAAATTCCAGAGGGTGCCCCCAAGACAAGCTGTGACAGCTGCAGAAGTGGCTCTGAGCACAGGCTTGTTGATGGGGCCCTGCCATTCACCCTGACTGTTCTGAGGAATCTTGCATCTGTCTGGTGGTTGCGTTCAGGCTTATTTGCTCCATACTCCAGACACAGTAGGATGACTGAGAAACTTGAACAGCAGGCTTCTGTAGATGATTTGTGCTTTCCCCTAGGCAGGTAACACAAGAAACTCACCTGCCAACCCCAGTGGATTCTGGACACGTCTTGCTTTTAATCCTTTTCAACCTTCTCTTCCAAAATCAACTTTGCTGAATTGGATTTTTTAAAATAACTACTAAATCACTTCCTGCACTCTTGTCCATTCAAACCATTTGTTACCTGATGTGATTCCAAACACAATGTGTCTGTCACCATAACATGAACACCTTACAGTCAGCTCCATGGTGCTCAGATCTGCAGGGCTCCCCATGTCCATTTTCACTGAAAGCTTACATTGCTTCTGTACACACCTTTCCAATGCTAGTCATAGGGAAATATGACAGTTTTTTAGAGTTTTATGAAATGTTGGAGAGAGAAGAAGACTTTTAAGTGCAGTACCATTGATCAAAATACTTATTTTTATTTTTTAGGTTGCATCTGATGCCAGAAGGTAAACACAACTTGCATTTACGCTTTGCAAATGAGTTCAATGAGTTAGTAGAAGACTTCCTGCAATGAAAACACTGAGGACTGTTGTCTTGGTAGTTCTATAGAGAGGGCCTTGATCTTGTTGCTACTGATACCAAGACCCCTCAGCAGCTCTCTCCCTTACATCATGCCTCAGTTCCAGGCCTTCCCAGGCCTTCTCTCCACCCTACAATGCTGATCGTAATCAAGTGGGCATCATGACATGTTGAAACAACCTCCAGCTACAAGGATGAACACTTAACATTGAATTGTGAGATTCTATCATTCTCTTACAATAAATTCCTAGTGTAATTTATTTTCAAGTAAATTTTACATGAAACATTTGGGTGTCTGCTATTTTAGGGGATCTGGAATTTACAGCATACCTTTTATCTGAGAGGTAAAGGTGCACTTAATCGTTATTTGTATTTATCACATTGTCCAAAAGAAGTAGAGAAGTAGAAGGCATTTCTTACATAAGTCTTCACTTCAACAAACTCATAGGGTATCTGGACAGCAAAGAAGGGAAGAAGGTTTTCTTTGTCCCCAAACTGCTCTTCAGTGCTGACTCACTTTGGAGAGATTCCTTTATTTTAATACTTTGCGACAGGGAAAATGAAAAAAATACATACTTTTCATCTCTTTAATAAAACAGCAGAAATGCCATTAAAACACATGGAAGCAGAAATCCTACATTGCTAAGATTGAACCATGAACCTTGGTACTTCAGAAACATTTAGTGAAATAAAAAGTATTCACAGGGAAATAAGGATCACAGGTATAATACACATGCTTCTTTATTAGTATAGATATGTTAAAAGACAATACTGTAATCTTTAAAGGAGATCCACATGATTACATCAACAGTAAATTTCTGACAGAGGCAAAACTGAGCACCGTGGTATACAAATAAAAGACCATGCTGCAGGACAATAAAGTTCACTAAAGATGCATGATTTATTTAGAAGTTCTTAAGCCTCATCCTCCCCCTCCTCCTCCTCAAACTCCCCCTGTTCATCAGCTGTGGCGTCTTGGTACTGCTGGTACTCGGACACCAGGTCGTTCATGTTGCTCTCGGCCTCGGTGAACTCCATCTCATCCATGCCCTCGCCGGTGTACCAGTGCAGGAAGGCCTTGCGCCGGAACATGGCCGTGAACTGCTCCGAGATGCGCTTGAACAGCTCCTGGATGGCCGTGCTGTTGCCGATGAAGGTGGCCGACATCTTGAGGCCGCGGGGCGGGATGTCGCACACGGCGGTCTTGACGTTGTTGGGGATCCACTCCACGAAGTAGCTGCTGTTCTTGTTCTGCACGTTGAGCATCTGCTCGTCCACCTCCTTCATGGACATGCGGCCTCGGAAGATGGCGGCCACCGTCAGGTAGCGGCCGTGGCGGGGGTCGCAGGCGGCCATCATGTTCTTGGAGTCGAACATCTGCTGGGTGAGCTCGGGCACTGTCAGGGCGCGGTACTGCTGGCTGCCCCTGCTGGTCAAGGGTGCGAAACCAGGCATGAAGAAGTGCAGGCGCGGGAAGGGCACCATGTTCACGGCCAGCTTGCGCAGGTCTGCGTTCAGTTGGCCCGGGAAGCGCAGGCAGGTGGTGACCCCGCTCATGGTGGCCGACACCAGGTGGTTGAGGTCTCCGTAGGTGGGCGTGGTCAGCTTCAGCGTGCGGAAGCAGATGTCATAGAGGGCCTCGTTGTCGATGGAATAGGTTTCATCCGTGTTTTCCACCAGCTGGTGGACAGAGAGGGTGGCGTTGTAGGGCTCTACCACGGTGTCGGACACCTTGGGCGAGGGCATGACGCTGAAGGTGTTCATGATGCGGTCTGGGTACTCCTCACGGATCTTGCTGATGAGCAGGGTGCCCATGCCGGACCCGGTGCCGCCTCCCAGCGAGTGGGTCAGCTGGAAGCCCTGGAGACAGTCACAGCTTTCTGACTCCTTCCTCACCACGTCCAGGACCGAGTCCACCAGCTCGGCTCCCTCTGTGTAGTGGCCTTTTGCCCAGTTGTTTCCTGCACCGCTCTGGCCTGCCAGAGAAAGAGAATGGTAGATGCAGACCTATAAGGGGCGTGGCTTATGTCAGTTGGACAGTGCAGAAGGCAGAACTAGTCTTAGAAAAACTTCCATTTTTTTTAGATATGCTTTTGTTCCACATTTTCAATGTCTCAGCTACCCTCAAAAACCTTGGGGATCATAACAAAGTAAAAAACCAAGTTGAGAAAAAGGATATGTTTTAACAAAACCAAGGTTCTCCTAAAATGAACAAAGAACATTCTGCAAATGCTCTAGTTAGATGCAATTGAGCAGGCATTGGGAGGACTGGGTGTGGTCACACAAGTCTATAATTCCCGAGAGGTGGAGGTAGGAGGACTGCTGTCTGAGACTATGCTAGGCAAAAGCCCAAGACCCTATATGAAAAATAAACTAAAGAAATAAGGGCTGGGGGCATAGCTAAAGTGGTAGAGTTCCTGCCTAGCATGTGCAAGGCTCTGAATTCAAACACCAGTACTGCCAAAAAAAAAGGTCAGGTAAGCACATTTTCCTTCAGAGGAGAAGATAGGCACTAAGCCCATGGTAAACCTTGGTCATAAGCTGCACTGGTGCCCTGATGTGGTTATCTGTAGTTCCTGGTCTTTGAAGTTACCTGTAGCCTGTGAGTCTCTATGTGTAGAAGTGCTTGCTCTCTGTTCTTTCCCTTCAGAGTCTGCCCAGTCATGGAGGGCTTGCTCAGCACTATCACGCTGACACTGATGTCTGAGGGTAGAGGGTGGCCAGAGTCAGCACCCTATGGACTGGGTGGAGTTAGGCCAGGACTGGGGCTACGCATGCACACAGGCTCACCAGGTTACTGAGAATTGGGAACTGTGGGGTGCATAGCTGTTAGGAAGCTGAGTCATCTGGCCAGCTCCCTGCACCATGATGACATGACGACATACCGAACACGAAGTTGTCTGGCCTGAAGATCTGGCCGAATGGTCCTGACCTCACTGAGTCCATGGTGCCTGGCTCCAGGTCCACCAGGATGGCCCGAGGTACATATTTGTTGCCTGTGGGAACAAGAGCTGACTTAGACCTGAACTCAGCAAAGAAATCCTGGGCAGGGCTCGTGATTCTATGTGGCTTCTCTCCAGCACAATTCACTACAGAAAATGCCAGCATTTGAGACAAAAGGAGGAAAAAGAAAATGATGAGTTTACATTACTTAGACGATTCTTTTCATTTCATGTCAGACATTGCAGGGTGGGCAATCTCTTGAGCAACTACAAAGCTTTTTGTTCGAGTTGGCATTTTAAGTGCAACAGCATCTCTTGAATCCCGTACTTTCCTAGCCTTCCTCTGGCACAGTGTGGAACGCAAGGTGCCATCCTCATACTCCCCAGCGCTTCATTGTAGTTACACGTTGTCTCTCCAGCTGCAGTCACTGTCGCCATGGTAACTGCCAGTGGGTCGATTGCCATGCGGCATCGCTGGATGACCTCCCAAAACTGAGATTTGAAACAGAATCACTCACGGTCTGGAACTAGCATGTCAGTTCGTGCCAGACCGCAGACAAAGCTCAGAGAGCGGTCTGCCTCCAGTTTTCTGAAGCCAGCTTGCTGCAGAGTTGCTTGTGAATTCCGCACAAGGGAGCCCAATCGCTCATATTGTGGGCCACAGGCTGGACCGCCCCAAGACGGGAGGGGCCTGGGAGGAGGAGGGGGCACAGATCTCCTCTGAAGGCTGTGACAGGAGCCGGGCTCTTTCACTCTAAGCATTGCTGAGTGAGGTTAAATCCACGCTGATAATTTGGTGCAGGTAGAAGGGAGGTTCAGGTGACCCCACCCTGGAGCAGTCTCCAGGGATCAATGGGTCCTGGCACATATCCACTCTGCTTTTAGCAGAGGAGTTTTATGCCTACGACCTATATATTGGCATCTGGGCCCTGACCCCCGACTTGGAATGGGGGAGGAGGGATCGCAGGCACAGCCCAGGGTGCCTGGGCTGCAGTGGAAAACACCCTCCACATGAGGAGGCATGATGAATTAGCAGCAGGAAAGGGGGCGTGGAGGTTGGGGTCTGCAATATGGCGGTTTTGAAAGAGACCATGTCCTTGTACAGAGGCCCGCCCACACCCATGCACCATGCACCATGCCCGCTGCTGCCTCCCCACTGCGTCAGGAATTTACAGCCCCCACCCAATGCAGTCATCTACCCTCACAGATGGGAAAGCCCACTGCCACCTTTTATATCGTGTCTTGATAGCTTGTACGGTTTGTATGTACTGACATTTACCACATCAGAAGCTAAATTTAAAACTTAATTCATTTAATAAGAAACCCACATCTGAAAAATAATTATACTTTCTAACAAATATGAGAATTGTTTTACAGTTTTGTAAATCTCTGGCTCTGCAATCTATCGCAGTGGGACATTCTGGTTGAATTATATGAAGAGAATATGTCTTCACACAGATATAATGTTGGAAAAGGAGGGCCTCGCAGATCCCCCCTCTCCCCACCCCCAGCTCTCCACGATTCCAGGGGTCCTCAGAGCACTCGCTGAGAAGCCCTGTGCTAGAAAACAACCATCTTAATGAAGACGGGACCCATCTTAAAGCTCATGCTGAGAATTTTGCATTAATGTGGAAGAATTGTTCTCAAGGATCTGACACGGGTCTATTAGCCAAAAGAGAAGCCTTTATAACATTGGTCAGCCTAGTAACACTGCATATCTTTCATTCAAACGACGTCAAAAATGTACAAGTTACAGACACAGGAGCCTATGGATACATAGGATGACAGTCCCAGCCAAATTTCAGAGACTAATACATCCAGAGGAATGCTAACTGCGCCCTGTACAAGGATTACGTCGCAACGCACTTTAAAGGACCCTGATTAAAAACATACACATGTCACCGCAGGCATCCTGGCAGGTGGAGCGGCCTCCTGGGCCCCACCCAGTGGCCTCAAAGTGGAATGCGCCCCTGGGAAGCCAAAGGCCATGTCAGGCTGTTCCCCGCCCCAGACCTCGTGACCTGTGGCAGGGGCCAGAGACCCCGTTTGCCCACTTCCCTAAGGTGCACCCACCTTGGCGCCGATCTGGTTGCCACACTGGCCCGCCTGGATGTGCACGATCTCCCGCATGGTGCCGGCTGCGGAGCAGGTGGATGCGCACTCCCTCGGAGCTGTGCACGTGGCGAGGACTGGAAGGATCTGTACAGCGGGGACCTGTGGTGACTCCCCAGCCTCGCCTTTTATAACCTCAGACCCGCCTGGCCCGCGCTGACGTAATGGTGGGCGGAGCTGCGGGGGCGGTGCGGCTGGGACTGCGGCACCGCGAGGGGGAGCCAGGGCGCGGTG